GTGCCTTTTTTGATGAAAGAAACAGTGTTAATGACAATCATGAGGCTCGAGATGCATCTTGACCATCTGGTGTGGCTTCAATGTGTCGAGTTGACTAAGCTGAATCCCACCCGTCCGTACCTCGGTCCATGTCTACCTTATATTCTCCAAGGTGCAGTAGGTACCTATTATAATCATATTACAGATGGATGAGAATATAGCAGCTAACTGACGCTCGGCCAAATACTTTCCTGAAGAAAAGAGGAGTACGATGCTAAAGACGAGACTTTACCAATACCTAGTAAGAGGTGTATGGTACATGTACATAAGCTGGATGCTGTCACTCCGCACCTATAGGCATTCTCACATAAGGTAGGGACCTATTCTGAAGATGATATGGATTACCTACTGTATTGTTAATCATGGAGTAAAACAGAGTCAATCTCCCCCTCAGTCAAGACGCCTTGAAACGCCGACCTAATCCATGCCCATCCCAACCTAGGTCATCTCACAGGCTTGTCGGAGTTGTTCCCCGATCGTGCCGTCGTGATACCCCACGAGAAGCCCCGTAATGCGGAGCTGAGGGCCTTCAACAGCAACCACATGCGCAGTTTGAGAGCATCAAACAGAACCAACGGCCCTGACTCTCCGCTATTTAAACCCCTGAATGGTTGTATCTCCCACTCACCAGGAATCCTTTTCCTCGTCATCACCAATCAGAGCGTGTCGTTGTCCGGCAAACCTCGCTCACTCCGTCCACGGCTTCGGAGGCCGAACCCCGCCAAGCTCACAAAAGCTCACCCCGCCATATGTACCTACCAGCCGTTTTTAGTGGCATCTCATCGACAATCAAATCGCCTCATTGCTCCGGCATCTTTGCCCACGATCTTCATCCGACGTCACTATCCATAAGACAAATCCCCCTCTGCTGAACTAAGCAACTCAGGCTCATGTATATAAGAAACCCTCTTCACTCCATCACACCATATCATCTTTAGCCGTCCTCCTCTCAGCACTCCATTCCCTGTGATACCCCCCCTCCAGTCCACCACCATCCATCAACCATCATGGCAACAACAACAACAACAACATCCCCCCAAAAGGAGCGCGGCATTCGCATAGCCATCGACCGCGGCGGCACCTTCACCGACTGCGTGGGCGAGCACCGCGGCCAGGAAATCATCATCAAGCTCCTGTCCGAAGACCCGGCCAACTACGACGACGCGCCGCTCGAGGGCATCCGGCGCATCATGAGCCATTTCCTCCAGCGCGACATCCCCCGCGGCGAGGCCCTCGACACCTCCCACATCGACTCCATCCGCATGGGCACCACCGTGGCCACAAACGCCCTGCTGGAGCGCAAAGGCGAAAAGATTGCCATGGTCGTCACGCGCGGCTTCCGCGACTGCCTCGCCATTGGCAACCAGTCCCGGCCAAAGATCTTTGACCTGGCCATCAGGAAGCCCGACGTCTTGTATGAGCAGGTCGTCGAGATTGACGAGCGCGTCACGCTGGAGGACTATGCCGAGGACCCGGAGAGGAAAATCACAGAGGCGGACGCTCAAGCGGGCTCTGAGGAGGCGCAGGGCAAAGATCTCGTCAGGGGCCTCTCCGGCGAGACGGTCCGGATCCTGAGACGCCCCGAACACGACGACATCAGGGACAAGCTGCAAAAAGTGTATGACTCCGGCATCCGCAGCATAGCCGTGTGTCTGATGCACGGATACACGTTCCCCGACCACGAGGCCCTGATAGGCCGCATCGCAAGGGAGATTGGCTTCCAGCACATCTCCCTCAGCCACGAGCTCATGCCCATGGTGAAGCTCGTGCCCCGAGCAACGTCCGTCTGCGCAGACGCCTACCTGACGCCCGCCATCAAAAAGTACATCAATGGCTTCCAGGCGGGCTTCGAGGGCGGCCTCGGCACGGAGAGCGTCAAGCACGAAAAGGGACGCAAGGGCGCTCGATGCGAGTTCATGCAGAGCGATGGCGGGCTTGTCGATGTCGACAACTTCACCGGCCTCAAGGCCATCCTGTCTGGCCCGGCGGGAGGCGTCGTGGGCTATGCCATCACGTCTTACGACGAAGAGACCAAGATTCCAGTAATTGGATTCGACATGGTAACCCCCCCCTCCCTCACCCATCAAATCAACTTTGCTGCCTCATTTTTTTTTTCCAAAACCCTTTTCACTGACACGACAACAAATGAATTCAACAGGGAGGCACCAGCACAGACGTATCTCGTTACGGAGAAGGCCGGTACGAGCACGTCTTTGAAACCACCACCGCCGGCGTCACCATCCAGTCGCCCCAGCTCGACATCAACACCGTCGCTGCCGGCGGCGGCTCTCGCCTCTTCTTCCGCAACGGCCTGTTCGTCGTCGGGCCCGAATCCGCCGGCGCTCACCCGGGCCCTGCCTGCTACCGAAAGGGCGGCCCGGCGACCGTCACGGACGCCAACCTGTACCTGGGCCGTCTCCTGCCCGAGTTCTTCCCCAAAATCTTTGGCAAAAACGAGGACGAGGGCCTCGACGTGGACGCCAGCAGAAAGGTGCTGCAGGAACTCACCGACCAAGTCAACCAGGAGACGGGCAAGAACCTGTCCGCAGACGAAGTCGCCTTCGGCTTCCTCACCGTCGCAAACGAAACCATGACGCGCCCCATCCGGTCCATCACCGAGGCCAAGGGCCACGACACGTCCAAGCACCGCCTCGCGACCTTTGGCGGCGCCGGCGGCCAGCACGCCGTCGCCATCGCCGAGTCCCTCGGCATCGCCCAGATCCTCGTCCACCGCTACTCGTCCGTGCTGTCCGCCTACGGCATGGCCCTCGCGGACGTCGTCGACGAGCGCCAGGAGCCGGACTCGTCCGTGTGGGAGGACGGCGGCAGGGTCGTTGCCGAGCTGCAGGCCAAGATGGACAAGCTCAAGGAAAAGTCGCGCGCGGCGCTCAAGGACCAGGGCTTCGACGACGCCGAGATTGTCTTTGAGGAGTATCTCAATTGCAGATATCGCGGCACCGAGTCTGCGCTCATGATCATCAAGCCCAGCAAAGAGGAGGCAGAGGCAGAGTATGGTGGCGATGAGTGGGCGTTTGGCAAGGCGTTTGTCAAGCACCATCGGTACGAGTTTGGCTTCACGCTGGATGATCGAGACATTATTGTGGATGATGTCAGGGTTCGTGGAATCGGCAAAAGCTTCCGCCATCGGGAAAAGTCCGTGGACCAGCAGCTCAAAACCATTCAACGGCGCGAGGTCTCGTCAAAGGCGCAACACAGCGAGCAGGAAGTCTACTTCGAGGGGGGCAGGGTAAAGACGCCCGTGTACAAGCTCAAAGACCTGAGCGAGGGCGACGTGGTCAACGGACCGGCCATGCTGGCAGATGGAACGCAGACCATTGTTGTGACGCCTCGCACCAAGGCTCTCATCACGGGAACCCACGTGGTGCTGGACATTGCCAAAGAAGGCGTCAAAGATGAGTATGTCGAAACGCCCCCCTGATCAACCCCCCCGCGATACAAACAGCTCAACTGATTCACATCTCAACAGATCCCACAGCGCTACAGATGGAGACCGCGAAGTCGACCCCATCATGCTCAGCATCTTCGGCCACAGATTCATGGCCATTGCCGAACAAATGGGCCGAGCCCTCCAGAAAACAAGCGTCAGCACAAACGTCAAGGAGCGACTCGACTTCTCCTGCGCCATCTTCGACGCCTCCGGCAACCTCGTCGCCAACGCACCACACCTGCCCGTCCACCTAGGAAGCATGAGCCACCTCGTCCGCCGGCAAGCTGAGATCTGGAAAGGGCGGCTGGAAAAGGGCGACGTCATCATCTCCAACCACCCCTCGTACGGAGGCACCCATCTGCCGGATGTCACGCTGGTCATGCCCGCTTTCGATTCGAAGGGGGAGAAGATTCTCTTTTACGCAGCTTCGCGGGCTCACCATGCCGACATCGGTGGCATCAGCGCCGGCAGCATGCCGCCGCACTCGCGCGAGCTGTTCCAGGAGGGAGCTTCCATCCGTAGCGAAAAGCTCGTCAGCGGCGGCAAGTTTAACGAGCAGCGCGTTGTCGAGCTCTTCTACAACGAGCCGGCCCAATATCCGGGATGCAGCGGCACGCGATGCCTTGCCGATAACATCAACGACTTGAAGGCGCAGGTGTCGGCCAACAACAAGGGCATCTCTCTTATCGAGACGTTGATTGAGGAATACGGCGAGGAGACTGTCCAGTTCTACATGGTCAACATTCAGAAGAACGCCGAGATGTGCGTCCGCCGACTCCTAAAGGACGTCCACAAGCGGTTCGAGGGCAAGGAGCTCTCCGCCGTAGACTACATGGACGACGGAACACCCATCCGGCTCAAGGTCACCATCGACCCCGAGGCGGGCGAAGCAGAGTTTGACTTTGAAGGGACCGGCCCCGAAGTGTACGGCAACATCAACGCTCCCCAGGCAATCACGTACAGCGCCATCATCTACTGCCTGCGGTGCCTCATCTCCGAGGACATCCCCCTGAACCAAGGCTGCCTGAAGCCGATCCACGTCAAGATTCCGGAAAAGTCCATCCTGTCGCCCTCCGCCGGGGCGGCCGTCGTGGGTGGAAACGTCCTCACCAGCCAGCGCATCACCGACGTCGTCTTCAAGGCCTTTGAGGCCTGCGCCGCCAGCCAGGGGTGCTGCAACAACCTCACGTTTGGCTTCGGCGGCAACCAGTCCGGCAAAGAGGCCGTCAAGGGCTTCGGCTACTACGAGACGATTGCCGGAGGGAGCGGTGCCGGGCCGGACTGGGTCGGGACGAGT